TCCGCTCGGCTGCTGCTGCGTTCCGTCGCTCTGTGGGGGGCGGCGAGACGGGCCACGCCCACCGGTCGGGGAGGCAGAGGACGCGGCGCTGGGGGGGGGGCGCGGGGGCACGCCCTCGAACTCGCTGGAAGCGCGGGAGTGGGCGGGGCCTGAGCGCCCTGGCTCTAATGGGCGGACAGACAGACAGGAGGCACGGGAGGGCAGTCTCCCAGACACAAAAGAGCAGGCTGTGCGCCACCGTGCAAGGAGCGGCCGGCTTCTGGGAGGAGGCATCCTGGAGCAGATAACCCCGGATGCTGGGGTGCGCAGCCTGCGGAGAGTGCCCGTGCGCGCGTCCAGCAGAGGACGGGCTGCCCCAGGGCGGGCTGACCTCGGGGCCCGGAGCCCTGAGGAACCGGAGCCAGTGCTTCCTCCGCCCCAGCCTGGGGGTCTGTCACCCTTTTACAGAACACGCCAGGGTGGGTGGGGGGTGGGCAATTGCTGTTACCGAATGGACCCACCCTTGTGCTGCGGGGGTCCCCCACCCCGTACTAGGTTCGCCTTGCCCACTGCCAGGGAAAGACACCTCTCAATGCCAGACGGGTAAAAAGGAATTTATTTATTTAAAGAGTTACACAAGCTTAAGTGCAATGACTTAATGTCTTCATTGAGATCCCAAAGTCCTTTAGAATACCCACAAATGCCCAGTCCTTCCTTCCCCCTCTGCCCAGCCAGGGTGTGTCTCAGAAAAAGAAGTAGAAGTCCGTGGTTCTTCTCTGCCCAAGCTGCACGGCCCCCCAAAGCCGAGTGGTCCCCATGCCTGGGTTTAAATCCCAGTGTCAGTCTTCCTCTGCTGCACTATTTCCGACTCCTCCCACAATTGGCCACAGCTGCCAGCATTCCCGTATTCTCCCAGCTTTCCTGGGCTGCCCCAGTGAGTCCGGGCAGGTGTGGCCCTGTGGCGTGGAGCCAATCATCTGCAAGCCCTCACGCAGGTGCTGTCACCAGGGGGAGTTGCCCCCCTAGTTACATCTTGGGTGGAAGTCACTCCCATTCCCCAGCACAAAGCAGGGCCACAGCTGTTTAACATACCCATGAAACCAGTGAGAGGTCATAGATGGTCAATGACCGTTCCAGAGGCTTCTGCAAAACTGCTGCTGTTCCAAACGGCTCTCACTGGCCCTGCTCCATGCGTCCCATCCCCCAGCTCAGACTTGTGGGGGTGAAGACTTCCTATATATTTTTTCTAATATTTCCTGGACACCAAGTTCTGGACCCCATCCCAAACCCCTATTTGCCCCCGCTCCCTGCCCCGCTGCACCCTGTTACAGCCACAGCCCTGATGGGGACAGGCCAGCAGGAGAGATGGCGTGACATCTCCACAGCCCCACACCCGGCCACAGCACATCAGGACAAGCCCCGGGGAACCCCACATGTCCGGGAGCCGCACTGCACCCCCGCACTGAACCCCCGCACTGAACCCCCGCACTGAACCCCCGCACTGAACCCCCGCACTGCCCCGGAGGCCGTGGTGGGGAATAGGAAGTGCCCTCACCTGGGCCGTGAGACCCTGGTCAGGCCGCTGCGGCGCCTTCGCTCAGGGTGGGGGAGGGTGTGCCACGCGGGAGCTCCCGGGAGGGCCCCGGAGCCGCACAGAGCCGCATTGTCATGTGAAGGGACAGCATGGGGGGACGCAGGGAATGTCCATGCAAAGGCCAGCGTCCGGCGAGCCGACACGGCGAGCAGCTCAGGGGTCCGAGCTGCGGAGAGAGACGTGTTCGTGTCCGGCTCCTCCGCTGGTCGTCTCGGGGCGTCGGAGCCATTTCTCAATGAAGCAATCTCACATCTCACAGCGGCACAGACGCCTCTCGGGGACACACCTCGGGGACAAGGAGGAGCCGGACAGAAAAGTCGGGGTGTGTGCGGCCCTCCTCCCCACGAGGCCTAGCGCAGCGGCTCCCTGGCAGGGCGCCGTCCTGGGAGCGGCCCCACCCTCACCTCCGTGCACTCGGGGTGCGCCGTGCGCATCTGGGAGCAGGGAGGGGGCCCCGGGGGGTGGGGGGACCCAAACCAAGTGCGGACGTCCGTGTTCGCCACGTGTCCACAGCGGGGCACACGCACCGCGCTAACTAGCCGGGGTGGGGGGCTCCCTAGACTCTGCTGTCCACCTGACACTGGCCTGAAACAGGATGTGCGGGAAGAAATCGGAGGCCAGTGAGCACAGGTCGCTCCCTTGTCAGGTGGCTGCCCTGCCGCCTGCGGAAACCCCGGCCGTCCACAGGGGTGGACGTCCTGCCCCAGCGAGCCGCACCTCCATCTGAAGTCTGGCCTGTCCCTCCACCCCCCGTCCCCCCCCAGCCATCCCCGGCTGCCCCCGGGGCATGCTTCACCGGGGAAAGGGCGCTGAGCCCGGGCCGGCTGCCCGGCTCGGCCGGGGACTCGCAGGGGCCCTGCGCCCGCACTGCCCCTCCTGCTTCCTGGGGCCGCAGCCCCACCTCCGGGCCCTTCTCGCCACTGCCCCGTTCCCTGCCCCCTCCTGGGCCCGTCCATCCCCGTCCGGCCTGAGGAGCGCCCGGAGCTCCTCCCCACACGCCCGGGACCCCTGGGGAGGCAGAGTCGGCTGTTAAGGGCCGCGGCAACCCAGCGAGTGAGAGGCAGGCCGGCTGTGCCCCAGGACCCACCCGTTACCGAGTGAGCTGGGGAGGCCTTTGGACAAAGCCCACATGCCCCTGACCCCGGGGCCAGACCAGCGCCCAGAGGGGCACCGGAGCCCCCAGAGAGAGCGCGTCACTCTCCCACCAGCTCCTGCGTTGCAGTCACCGCGTGAATGCACCTCCTACCTCTGTTCTCACGGGAAGCTCCTGCCCCTGCGAGCCTGGTCCCTCACTGCAGGTTGGGGCCCTCCTCCCTTGGGGGCCCCCGCGTCTGGGTCTGAGAGACAGGCCCCTCCTCCCCTCTCCCCAGCCTTCCGGGCTGAGTACCACCTCCGGAGGGGGTGCAGTGAGCCCCACTGACTCGTGAAGGACACCCCGCCAGCCACCTGTCCCCCCATGCATCTCTAAAGGGTTGGGGGGGCGCCCCGGTCCTCCACACTCCGCCCGACCCCTGGCCCAGAGGCCCGGGGCTCCTCCGGTCTCGGAGGCAGGCTGGGCGCCGGTGTCTCGGTGCGCATGAGACCGCAGTCATTTGTATTCCGCACGTTACGTAAGCTGGAATGTTCTCCACGGAAATTTTCCCCTCCGGGAATCACACTTTAACTGGCTAATATTTTTATTAATAGACATGTATTGCTGTTAAAAATAAAATTCTCTCTCCCCCTAATGCATGTAATCAAAGGCAGGCCAGGCACCCTGTCCACCACTCAGCAGGGCACCCCATGTGCGTGCGTCTGCGTGTGTGTGTGTGCGCGTATGTGCGTGAGATTCCGAATTCGCTTTTGACCAACCCCCAGCTTCCGCGGCAGCGCGCGTGGCTGGGGAGCAGGTCCCCTCGGGGACCCAGCAGGGTTGGCCTCACGAAAGGGGACAGTGGCAGGCCGCAAACAGCACCCAGCCGCAGTGTGGCCCCTCCGCCTCACCGCCCCCCCGCTGAGGGCACGCTGCTCCCCCTGGTCAGAGAGGTCCCTGGGGGGGCTTCTCCCCACACCCAGCCCCTGCCAGGTCCTGGGCTGCTCGCCCTGGGCAGCGGGGGGCACGGCAGGGCTGCCAGAGGAGGCGGTCAGGAGGAGGAAGCCCACACACCGGGCTGAGCTCCCGGGCAGTGCAGGCTGGTGGGCGGGGGGGGGGGGGGGGGGTGTCCGGCCGGGCTGGGGGAAAGAGGCAGGCAGGCGGTCAACCTCTCTGCAGGCCTGAGATGCTGCAGGTGACGGACGGCCACTTCGGCCCCCCTTGTGGCAACCTCTGTGTCCAGAATCTGGAGGCCAGCTCCCCACGTCCCTGAGCCCAGCCCCCCAGGGTCCGAGGCGAGAACTGGGCTCCTTCCCGCCTCCAGCTGAAGTCTTGATCCGGCCCGGACCCCCAGAAGGACCCCTGCTGTTCCAACACTCCTCTGTCCAAGTTCAGGGTCACCTTCTCCGGGGATCTCCAGAGGGTTCCCCTTTCTCTCGGTCTGGAGACCCAGAAGGGTCTGGGGTGTCATAACCTCAGAACCTCTCTCCTGCCCATCCTTTCGTGAGCCTCTGTGCCCAGGATGAGGGTCACGCCCGCGGCCCCATGCCTCTCCCCGGGTGTTCTCACTGGCGGTGGGGACGCTGGAGCCCATTGGGTGTCCTCCTCGGACTGTGAGCCCCCCAAGGGAGATCACCGTCATCCTGTCCCTGTGCCGAAAGTGAGGACAGTGTGCACACGCACTAGACGAGGAAGGGAGGTTCGGGGCTTGTCCGTTGGTCTCCCGGGTTTGCTCGGCAGCAGCAGAGGGGCAGCGAGCGGGAGGGACGGCCTTCCGGAGGCCGAGCCACAGGCGGGCGGGCCGGGGGCCACGGCTGTGGGCCGCCGCTGACTCCCGGCCAGCTCCCCGGCACTGGGCCGGGGGGGGGCCTCCTCTCATCTTCTGTCCTCGCCTCGGAGTGAGTGAGCACCGCGCTCTGACGTGTGTCCCATCGCTGCGCGCAGCTGTTTCTAGACCTCGCAACACGGACGGTGACATGTCACCGTACAGGCTGGTGACGACAGTCAGTGATGCCGTGCTTTGTCGGGGAGTCATGAGAGAGCGGAGCCGGCAGGTTCTCATCACGGGGGAGAGACGTGTAAGGGGTGCGGTGCGGACGTCACCTAGACCTGCTGTGAGCGCCACTTCTCTGGGCGTGCAAATGTGCCACCGTGCTGTTGCACACCTGCAGCCAGTGCAACGCTGTGGGTCCATCACACCTCAGCGACAAAGGAGGAAAAGGAAAGAAAAACAAGACATTAATAGGACAGTGATAGTGATGGTGGCAGTGGTGTGGGTGACTCGTAAGGATGCAGATGATGGTCGTGGTAGCTCTGAGAGTGTGCCCGTGGTGTCCCTGGTGATGCTGTGACGACGGTGATGGTGATGGAGGTAACGGTGGTGATGGTGATGGTGGTGATGGTGATGGTGGTGGTGATGGTGGTGATGGTGGTGATGGTGGTGATGGTGGTGATGGTGATGGTGGTGGTGATGGTGGTGATGGTGGTGATGGTGGTGATGGTGGTGATGGTGGTGGTGGTGATGGTGGTGGTGATGGTGGTGATGGTGGTGATGGTGGTGATGGTGGTGATGGTGATGGTGGTGATGGTGATAGTGGTGATGACACTGGTGATGACGCTGGTGATGATGATAGTGGTGATGATGCTGTTGATGATGGTGATGGTGACAGTGCTGGTAATGATGGCGATGGTGACAGTGCTGGTGGTGGTGGGGAGGACATGATGTCTGTATGAATGACGACAGCATCGGTGAGGCTCTCCCTGCAGGCGGTGTGCCGGATGCTTAGCCCTCTCCATCTCATTTCGTCCTCACGGCCGCCCCCAAGGTGTGCGTGACTCACAGCCCGTCTTAGAGATAAGGACACGGGACCCTGAGTCACCTGGCCCTGGGTCCCAAGCCGAGCCAGGATTTGCCCCTCCCCACCCCCCGCCCCCCACCACCGGCCTGACTGCAGAGCCGGGCTTCCTCCCGGGTCTCCCTGCCGCCCCCCCCCCCCGGAGCGCCCCGCCCTCTCGGGGGCTCCCTCGCGAGCACACTGCTCATCTCGGTGCAGTTTCAGCGTCTCTCACGGTGACACCTGGCAGCCAGTGCTGTGCACCGGCTAATCACATGTTTTATCGTCTCCTTGTCCACCAAGTACTGTCTGCACCCACCGCTGAACAAATCCACGTCCTTCGTGGACTGGTCCTCCCTGAGGTCTTGCACGCGGCCCTTCTGGGTTCGCCATCGGCGGACCAGCTGGGCCTCGGCCTGGGTGCCCACGGTCCCCTCCGTCCTCCCAGCCAGGCCCTCGGCGGCCCCGGCCTTCTCTGGGCCAGCCCCTCCTCCCGCCCACCGCCACAGGGATCTTTAAACAAAGCTGCTGCCTCCATCGCTCTGCATGAAGCAGCGAAGCCGCCGAGCTCCTGGGCGTGGCCGTCTGGGCCCTCCTCCTGCAGACCCACCCCAGCCGGCATCCCCACCGAGTGGCTCCACCCCAAGAGACCAGCAGCGCGCCCCAGGCCAGGCCAGAACCCCACCCTCGGTGTGTCTGCGCCCCAGGCCAGGCCTGGACAGAGGCTCCCACACGTCCCGGGCTCTCTGCCCCCGTCGCTGCCCTGTGCTCAACCCCTGAGGTGTCAGCCCTTCCTCCCCAGGACCCTCCTCTCCCCCTGCGCTCGCTCCCCGCCCCCAGCTGCACCTGTGCCCCAGAACCCTCAGCTCGGCCCTGAAGTCACCTGTGCCATCACCCCCAGGCCCCCTGTCCCTGGTGACAGACCTCCCCGCTGGGCCCCGCTCACGCCCCCTCTGGACAGTCGCACGGCCAGGAGGCGCAGTCCTGGCTGACACCCCTCCTCCCGGGCACCCTCATTCGTCCCCCGTCACCGGCGTCTCACCGGCTGAGGTCCGGGCACCTGGCACACAGGCCGGTCCCCTCCTGAGCCCGCCCCTACCCTTGGCATCATCACAGCCACTTCAGTGTTTAACTGGGATGGCCCCTACCCCCCTGCAGTCACCGTCCCCATGGGGGACATCCTAAGGCATCTGATCCCTGGCCTGTGAGTGCCCCACTCAAGGGCCCCGAATGCACTTCCTGTCCCAGGCCGCCCAGCCCGGCCAAGCACCCCCCCACCCCAAGCCAGGACACCCTGGCTCCCCACCCCACCTACCCCTGGGGCTTCTCCTCTCACGTCTGCTCAACGACCCCACCTCCCTGTGCAGGGGTCATGGGGGGCAGCCCTGGCCTGGGCACCCGGAGGGCACGGCCCCTCCCCGTGGACCCCCTGGCCCCTGGTGGAGCTTCCTGGTTGTTTCAGACCTGCTCCTCCTCCTCCTCACGTGGCTCCCGCAGGTGGGAAGAGCCCCCAGCCACGCAGGGAGTGGTCAGGCCCTCCGGGTCCCCAGGTACGTCCGTCCTGCAGGGCAGGTACCCCCTTAGACAGGTGGGGAGCCCCCGCCACCCTGGGGGACCCAGACAGCCGGGCCTCCCGGTCCGGCAAAGTGGGGAACGAGAAGTCTGGGTGAGTTGTTTTTATCTTTTCATACCACATTTTTAAAGATTACCAAGTCAATATTTGTTCAATGCCGAGCACTGGGAAACAAACAATGGAACAGGAAAATTACCCGTAATTGCGCAGTGCGGAGACGAACACCCACGGCTTCGAGCTGCGTCCCTCTCCCCGCCTCTCCGCCCGCGCTCCCCTCTCCTCCCACGCAAACCTGCACCAGGACGCTCTGTGCACACACGCACCTCCCGCACGTGAGCATACACACTGACGTATACACATGCATGTGCGCACACACACCCGCACTGTGTGCACGAGTGCACGCATGCACGTGTCTGCACGCACACAGATGCACTTGTGTGCGCACATGTGTTTGTGCACACACGTGCACAAATGCATTTGTGTGCACATGCCTGCATGCATGCTGCACACACGCACACAGGCGCACACATGTGCACACATGTTGTCTTGTGGCTCCATCAGCGGTGGCTCACAGGCACACATGTGCGCATGCAGCACACATGTGCACACGGGCATGCACAGGCATGCGCACACGAGCCCGGCTGTCTCCTGGCTCCATCGGCGATGGCCGCGGTGCTCTGTCGAATGGACGCATGTGCATCGTGTCTCCACGCTGTACCTGTTGTCCGTTCCTCTCCGTCTCCACCCCGGCCGGGCCCAGGCTGTCCCACCTCCTGTGCCCGGACCCCAAAGTCTCCTCACTGCCCCTGCCTCCGCGGGGCCTCTCTGCCGCCCATTCTCTTCCCAGAGGAATGAAATCACCAGCGTCCTTCCACGGCCTCCCTGGAGACCAGCGCCTGATCTCGGCCTGCCCCTGCCGCCCCTGCCCCCCACGCACAGGCTCGCTCTCAGGCTCGCTCTCAGGCTGGGGCCCGTTCCTGCAGCAGCGCCCCCTCCCCAGCCCTGACTCTGCTGATGGCCTGCCTCGCCGGGGCCGCACCTCGCCCCCACCCCACACACACTCCCACAGCACCTCGATAAGCCCAGGGCGGGACTGGGCCAATGTCTGTCCCGCCCTCTGGCCTCAGAGCCCGGGCGGGGGCGCTCCGCCCTGCCCCTCACCTTGCTCACGGTGCGCTCTCAGTGAAGGGCGGGGCCTCTCTCTGGGTCTCCGAGTGAGTGACAGGTGGATGAACCAATGGGTGGGATGACGAGACACACACACCTCGGAGCCCACAGTCTGAGCACAGCCCCGGCCGTTTCTCCAGCACAGGCTCCTCTGCGGATGCGCGGGGCCACGGAGCAAGCCCGTCCTCGGGCGTGTTCTCAGACGGCCCGTGTGCCGTGTGCCCTGCGCCTGCCGACGTCGCTCACGGGCGCATCTCTGCCCCTGGGCCGGCCAGGTGGGCGGGCCCACACGCTGAACACTGGACGACGTCGTGCTTTTAGGTGTGGGAACCGCTGGGGGACACTCGTGATCCGCAGCCATTCCCGTCTCCCTCCGCGCCCCGCCCGTCCGCGCGGATCCGTTTGTGACTTTCCGGCTGTGCCCTGCGCCGGGCTCCGCGCCCGTTGCTGTTCAGCCTGTGCTTGTGATGACACCTCCTGTGTCGTTAGCTCGTTAACCCCGTGACCCTTTGTCTAGACGCAGGGCGCGAGTGTTCCCCCGGCTCGTTGATTGCGCGCAATGGTGTGTTTTAAGTCCTCATTCGAGGGAGGAAGCGTGAATGCTAATGTCGTCACACCAGCTAGTACTACAACTTGTGCTTTTCCTGACGGCTTCAGCGGCCGTGGTGCTGGACACGAGCCTGACGGGGGCGGGCGCTGGGCTGACGGGCCGGCCGAGCTGGGCGGCCGGACAGATGGAGCTGGCCAGGTGTGCCTGCACGTCCTTTTTCTTTTAAAGATTTAATTTATTTATTTTCTAGACAGAAGGGAAGGGAGGGAGGAAGAGAGGGAGAGAAACATCAGTGTGTGGTTGCCTCTCGAGCGCCCCCTACTGGGGACCTGGCCTGAAACGCAGGCCTGTGCCCTGGCTGGGAATTGAACCAGTGACCCTTCGGTTCGCAGGCCCACACTCAATCCCCTGAGCCACCCCAGCCAGGGCACCTTTATAATGTTCCCCCAATAGTGTGAACACCCCCCCTTCTAACTTTGATTTGGCTGGCCCGCCCCTTCGGAAAAGCCAAGACGCAGATGTTCCAATTCATGAAAACTCCCACGCGTGTTTCAATCCCGTCTTCAAGATAAACCCAAACGGCTGCACACAGATCAGAGCGCTCGGGCCGAAAACGCACTTTCCCGCCCCCTGCGCGCTCCAGCCTCCCGGGTCTTCAACCCCTCCGCCGCCGAGGGCTCCTGGGACGAGTCAGCTCGGAGCCGCGTTCACCGGGTTGCTCAGGCCGCCCCGGTCCACGCCACAGACCGGGCAGCCACACACAGAAATTCGTTTCTCACAGAACCTGGGGGCTGGAAGTCCAAGTTCGGTGGGCGAGCCCTGTGCCAGTCCCGGCCCATCTAACGCCCCCTGGAGGTCACCCGCGTCATCAGGCATGCGCTGTCCCCTGGACGCCCCTGCTGGCGAGGTCGGGGGTCCTCACCGAGCACAGGCTGTGCCCCCCCCAACGGTGTTCCCGGCCCTGAGACTGCCTGCTCACGACCCCAGTCTTTGTGCTTCGCTCCGTGACCTCGGAGATATGCCTGCGCCATTTCCTCGCCCTCCGCTGGTTTTCTGGAAGGTGCGACCACCCTCTAGAAGGTGGCCGGCCTGGCCCCGCCCTTTCAGAGCCCCCCAAGGTCCTCACACGTCCCCAAGTGGGGTAGTCGGACTGCTGTCCCAGCGCCTGGCCCTCGCTCTGCTCCATTTCCTGCAGAATCACCCCGCCTCTGGGCTCCTGGCGGGGCAGGGAGGACGGGGGGGGGGCGGGGGGGGGCGGCTGCAAGGCTCCCTGCAGAGCGAGGGGGCGGAGACCCCAGTGTCGGGATGAAACGGGTTTCACTCCGGGTGCCCCGCTCCGGCTTCCCCTGCGGGGCTGATCCTGTGGGCTCGGGGAGCGTCAAAGGGGAGGCGCCTCTGCCTGGGTGGGGAGGGCGGGGTCTGCAGGGGGGTTTCGCCTCGCTGACACAGGCCCACCACCCGGGTTTCAGCCCCGCTCCTCCCCGCGCGTGGCGCTGACCACGCCGCCTGGGAACCGCCGCCCCCTCACTGCGGGGGCGGGGGAGGGGGCACGGGCCGGGTTTGGGCTGCAGCCCGCTGCGGGGCCCGGATTCCAGCCCCCTCCTGCTTTGTAGGTCATCACACCCCCTCGGCTTCCCGTCTCCTGGAATTCGCGGAAACCTCTGAGTCACTGTGGTG